CTCACAGGAGCGGGTGAGATGAGATGGGCAGAAGCAGCTCACAGGAGCGGGTGAGATGAGATGGGCAGAAGCAGCTCACAGGAGCGGGTGAGATGAGATGGGCAGAAGCAGCTCACAGGAGCGGGTGAGATGAGATGGGCAGAAGCAGTTCACACTCTGGTGCACCAGGCACCGAGGCAGCGACCCCAGCTTAAATCACGGCAAGAAGCCAGCTGGCCCCCTCCACAGTGCAGCTCTTCCGGGCCTTGAACGCGGTCCGGCCCTCAGGTGGACGGAGAGCATAGAGGTCTGCAAGCCCGCCAGTTAGGGGCTATGGGGGGGGGGGGGGGGTGGAGCAGGTGGGAGATAATTGTTTACTAAAGGACTATTAGATGATCTCCTAGCAACACCCAGCAAGTCCCCAAATCAGGGTTGGTGAAGATGTCATCCAGTGCCCCCCCCCCAAAAAGGCCACTACAACCATCAGCAGGGGAAAGACTGCCCAGCAAACCAAGGGCGGGTCTACAGGTCTACCTCTCAACATCCCGACACACACCCAGCCAACAGCGCACCTGGCGTATGGCCAAGGCAGTACAGACCGACCCCAGGACAGACGGGACCTCCACAACCTGCTGCAGCATTTCGGGAATCGCGCCATTATTGCCAATGCTGAAGGTGTGCCGGTTGAAACTTAACACCCATCAGCAAAATAATCCCTAGTTAGCCGTTCGCTTCCTCCACTCCTTTATTTTCCAACAAATCTCCTGCAATCAAGGGTACCGTACCGGTCAGAATTCACCTGTACATTTGTGGAGCCTAGATCTTGCCAAGCTGTGAGGAGGCAGTCTGCCTTTCAGCTGACAGGCTATCAAGGGAGACCATCAAAGCTGTACAGAAACACACAGCCCGTCTCAGTTACCTCCCGCCACAAGAGGGCACTCAAACAGGGATCATAGCGTTAGAAAAATCAGCCCCTCTCACACAACAAGTTAACTCAGATTGCTTGGGGTCCAGGAATACACCCTAAAACTTCACATTTTGTAATTTTAAACAATGTATATAGTGGAATACTATTTATTTTAACAGTTTCCATCTATATCGATTTCACCAGTTAAATGGAAAATTTGCTGAAACACTTCTAGTTAAATATTGTTTGTAGTATAATAATATTGCTATGCCCTGAACATCACAATTCTCCTAGCATGTCCAATTCCCCCTGCATTAATGTTTTTAAATAATGATCATAACACTCCTAACACAATGCATTCCTGACACCCAAAGCATTATTTACCTCCCTCTGTCCCTTTATCTATGAAAGTCACTCTCATGGCTCTCGGGATATTCAAGGACAAAATTAAAATAAAGCATTAAGTTATTGGTTCCATTCAAGCAAAATGGGATATAAATGACAGCATGCAGCAATCGTATGGATTTCACAGCCTCATTTCTCAACACAATTAACACAGACAAGAGGCCATCCAACTCTTTGAAGAGTAAACTCCCATCTACAATAGAAAAGACTTTCTGCCAGTCGAATGCAGTAGTCCATGTGCAAATCTATGCTGGATTGCTCCATAGTTTAATGTCGATATTATGTGACAAGTAAAATTCAAAAGTTACTAAAGTAGCATCCAAGGAAACACTGGCAACTACTACAATTTTAATAGTTTCAATTCTGTTACATCTATACGGAGATAACTTGGCATCTCGACAAAGTCAAACCTACCTAAGCTGGCGTAAGACACAAAACTAGGTGTTACAAATTAAATTCTTATCTCCAGGGTAACTGTTTACCAGTTTTATATCAGCCAAGTGCTGAACAGCGGCAAACTTAAAACCCAAAGGGGGTTTCAATTACCAATAACGAAATAGTTAATCTCCCTGTCGACAGACGATCAGATGACAGAGTACATGCAAGATAACTATGCTTTCCTGGGCACCCGTCCAGAGTTTAAAGTAAATGCTACAGTACATCGTTCCTACAAGCACTGTGTAAAATAGGGACAAACCTACGAGTCCTTGTACATGTACTGTACATTCAGTTATGAAAACCACAGTCCCCTCCAATTTTTCCTCTTGTTGAGCAGCACAGACGGTGGGATAATACCCAGCCCCAACACAAGTCTAGTCAAGTACTGCCTGGAGTAAATCCTAGTGTTGATTTTACTCCCAAGTTAAATATTTCTCTAGTTAAAGAGCATCCACTAATTTAACAGAATTAAACAGAAAAGCTAAGCACGGCAATTAGAGCGTTTAATAAGCTACACAAATAAGACGTTAAAATGAGCATAATACCACAATTAAGGTCCCCAACAGCAATGTCACGTTGAGATCAACTATTGATATTAATCATTAGATACCCGGTTGCGTGCGCACGAAGGCAAGACGGGCGGCGGCACGCGCACCCACGCCCAAAAGGGCACGCCTCGAGGCGGCCGCGGGGCAAAGACGAAGTGTCGCGTGCGGCTCGGGCTCTCCCCTCTAGCGGCTGCGAGTGATGAGCCAGTCGCCGGAGCAAACCTAGGCGCTCACTGCAGAAGCGGCCCCTGAATGACGCGAGATACATTTCTAACGGGATGCATCTCCATATGCGTGTTAACATCCTTTTATTAGGCACGCCACAATAGCAATTTCTAAGCCTGATTTTTTTCTTTTTAACAAGACTCATTTATTCACATCAAGTCAATACGAACCTAAGGAAGCAAATAAATCCTACACTTCTTACAGACTTCCGTTGTAAGCACTACATTGACACCACATACGAATGATATCGAAAGCAGGTTGCTACATTTTAACACCTTAACAGTTGTACGTAGGAGTATGCCGTGACTTTACTGCACGGTACTATGTAGAATTACTTCAGCAATAACACATGTTGGTTGTTTTGCCAATATACGAAAACAGGTGCAATGCTGATCACAGAGAAAATGAACACTCACCGGCCAAGCGAACTGGAATGGGATAAGGATTCGGCCAGCATCGTTGATTCTATTCGGATTGTTTTCGGCGCTTCTAAAGGAGATAATATTCCCACCAAGAACGTCAGTAGATCCATGTCCGTAGGTGCACTGGCCATTGGTCGTGACTTCGGATTGGTACTCCTTCAGGCAGACTTTGAAGTAAGTGTCGCACTCGTCCCGGCTGCAGACGCGATCCTCCGAGTTCCTGCTGCCGTCGCAGCACTGTCCGTCTGACAACTCACCGAATACATTCTGAACGGTAATCAGCTGCAGCTCAAAATAGCCCGAGGACTGGGACACCTATAAATAACATTAAAATGGAAAAAAGGTCTAAACGCGTCGCTTCCAGGAGAAATGCAGGTGAAGACAACAAATAAACTTAAATCAAATCATTTCTTTCTTCAAACGACGGTGGTATGTTTGAAGCAGCTTAGCAAAGCGTTATCGATAACGTGATTTCGATTCACTGCATAGGCTAAGGGCTGCAAGACCGGCAGGGCTTCACGTCGAATAAACTGAGCGTACTAGTACTTGCCCTGAATCAATGAAAACTGAAGTGCAATGTTATTGCGCTGAAATAAACAACCTTCAAATTAACATAAAGCAGTTTTCATATGAAATGGAATTGCCTTGGTGAACGATTTGTGAATCAATTATTAATAGGTACATGACAATAAATACAAAGCGTGTTGAAATCAGCCTTGACAAAGACATAAAATTCAGCATCACACGCAAAGACGGTTCTGATGCGTGATTGAATGAAGAAAATCAGTTCGTTGAAATTACGATTAAACAATAATTACACGCCCACAAAGTTACAACTGCCGATTACTTAAACATCAATTAAATACATTTGCATGATATTTGAAAGAAGCAATCTACTTACCTTCGCCCGTAACGTTAACAGCAGACAGACTAATGAAAACCAATTCGTAATCCTTGAAAATTTCCACATGCCTCCGATTAATTAGTGTATCATGAGAGATAATAAAAGAAAACTGAAAAACAGCCGTAGACCGGCTATCGTATCCTCCTCTGGGGGCATGCAAATATTAAAAAGCGGGATCTGTGCCTATTATATTTCTGAAGACAAGAGAAACATTAGATGCGTCTTAAGAAAGCCGAAGCAATTTACTGATAGACCGACCGTACGAGACTCCCTTCGTCAAATCACTTCACCGCAACTGATGTGTTTCTCGGCTAAACCCAAGCCTCGGGATGTGCTTCTGATTGGCACCCGAAGCGACCACTCAACTGCACTTAGAGTGGCAACCAATAAGCCAATCATAACACGGGGGCGGGGCGTGTCCAAAACTTGTGTTGCCGAGGTTCACCGCGGGGTAGGACGTGAATTTACTTGTGCTATTAAAGTATGTATTCCCATTAAAATCATTTCTGTTTTTTTTTATTTGGCACTGGCTATGATATCCGTGCAGGTAAACATTCATCCATTCGTTATTGCTTGCTCACACAGCGTAATGCCAGAATTTACGTGAGACACAGAACCTTTTCCCGAAATTCAAAATTGACGATATGACCGGTCACTCCTAGTGATTGGCGCAATAATTCATTTTCCGTGTGAAAAAAAAATAAAAATCCACCACAAACAGAAATCAAGGTGTAAAACTCCCAAAAATCCATTATAATGGCGGGGGCATTTATCTGTGTGTCGTAAATAGAGCTGAATGCTTATTTCATGGTTGACAGGTTACAGTCTTAAAGCGTGCTCTGTTGTAAATGAAGACTGCATGATGTTAATTATCTTACATGGTTACCTAGTGTTCCCGTTTGAGCCTCATGTTGTGGGTGCGCTGAAAAAAGAAAAACCCAAATACGTCTTTATAGTAAAACCAGCGGTGGCGTGTGTGCATTTAGGTTCAGATCCAATATCCTTTGCACTTTATTTCAGCAATATTACACAGCTGTGTGTATCAGGCGTTTACATACGTTTATCCACATTGAGCCTCTGGGTCTGCCTGCCAGCGCCCTCTTCTGTTAATCTGCGGTTTTAAAATTAGGCATGAAACACTCCTTCACACACGCAGTGGACATTTTATTAGGTACACCCATCCAGTACCAGGTATGATCCACTTTTACCTCCAGAACAGCAAACAGCAAAGCCATTCTACAAGTGACTGTTGTACTGAGTAGTTAGTTTGTTTACTTGTGGCCTTCCTGATACGTTTACAGAATCTGACCATGCTGCTCTTACTTATATCATTAACAAAGTATTTTTTGGCCACAGAAATGTCCCTGGCTGGATGTTTATTGTTCCCCACACCATCCTGTGTGACATCTTGACGCTGCAGCGTGTGAGAATCCCAGGAGGCCGGCTGGTCCTGAGATGCTGGAACCGCCGTGTTCAGAATCACACAGACCAGGAGTCTCAGTCATTCTGCCATGCTGCAGCACAGTGACCGAGCCGCGTGACCCTGTCGGAGTGATTCTGTACGTATTCAGCTGCAGCACAGTGACCGAGCTGCTCAGAATCACACAGACCAGGAGTCTCAGTCATTCTGCCATGCTGCAGCACAGTGACCGAGCCGCGTGACCCTGTCGGAGTGATTCTGTACGTATTCAGCTGCAGCACAGTGACCGAGCTGCTCAGAATCACACAGACCAGGAGTCTCAGTCATTCTGCCATGCTGCAGCACAGTGACCGAGCCGCGTGACCCTGTCGGAGTGATTCTGTACGTATTCAGCTGCAGCACAGTGACCGAGCTGCTCAGAATCACACAGACCAGGAGTCTCAGTCATTCTGC